AAATCTGTCATAGTTGGCTACAAACTAATATTTCACAATGTTCATAGGTTATTTTAGCTTATTTTTACCTTTGTTGTGTTATTTGGGCTAAACATTCATTTAGTTGAAGCCCAAATTCGTGGCTATTAGGGTTAGGACCTAGTTTGTTAGTTTCCTATTCTGGTTAGGATTAGTTTTAGCTATTTATAGAGCTGCAACCCTAATTGTAAAACAGATCATTATTCATCAACATTATGAGAACGAATTCTTTCTGGTTCTTTGAACAACTTTTCGAACTTATCGGAATTATCCATGGCATTCATCCTCGACTTATTAATCAACCTTTCCATAGTTAATTGTAGTGTCTTCTCCATACCAAGGTTCTTACCTCATCATAGGTAGCGGGTTGCGGTTTCATACTCTTGAACTTGTCTTAAAAAAGGTCTTAGTGCCTTGTCTTGTTTACAAGTTTCGTCATAGGTTGGCATAGTTCGTATCAGCTGAGTAATGTTTTCATACCAACAAGGTCTAGGGGAAGCAGATGACTTAATGTGGAGCCCAGGTCGTCAAGGTCAAATGAAGAACTGTTGAGGAAAAATGCCGAACTAGAAAGACAACTCAAAGAAATTAATAAATCTATGGACAAGCTCAAAAATTTGAGGTTGCAACTTCAAGCCCCAAACCTAGATAATGCTCCACTCAGCTTGTCAATTACTTGAGAGCCATATCAAGAGGGATTCAAGATCCCTTATCCTGAGACATATGATGGTTTAGGAGACCCAAATGAACATTTGCATACTTACCAAGTCATCATGAAAATACAAAATGCTTTAGATGCAATTATGTGCAAAGTATTCTCGACTACCCTGAAATCAATAGCTCGAAGATGGTATCACAAACTACCAAGACATTCAATTACCTCCTATTTCAAGCTTGCCACATTGTTCTCTAACAAATTCACAAGCCAACAGGACATAAAATGCATAGTCATAAAGTTGATGCAAATTCATAAAAAAGAAAATGAATCCTTACAAGACCGCATGTAGTGATTCAATAAAGTTACCTTAGACATTGACAATGTCCCAGACACAATATGCTTATCCGCCTTATTGCACAGACTAAGACCTAGTCACTTTCTGGATGATTTGCCAGAAAACCCACCAAAGATATGGAATGAAATCACCGATAAGTCGGTAAGTTTTATCTTGTTAGAGAATTTCCAATTGTCCAAGTGACAAGTTAATGATAAGCAAGGAAAAGACTTAAAGTAGCAAGAAGGAAAAGAAGAAAAGAAAAAGCAAAAAGTTGCCAACCTACGAGAAAGACTAAGCAACTTTCAACCTACCCTCAAATACGCGGGTTATACTTCATTGAGCTCGTCAAGGTCACATATTTTGACTCAAATACAATGTGGGTAAAACAATTAGCCCTCATGCCCCCAGATCCAGCTAGAAGGTATAGAAGCAAGTATTGTAATTACCACAGGGATTATGGTCATTATATAGATGATTATCAAAATTTAAAAGATGAGCTGGAGTTCTTAGCTCAAAGTGAAAGGTTAAAGGATCATATATAAAAGTCCTTCCATCAATAGCCCAATACACATTATGTATAGGACTATGCTCACCTTCAAACGCAGGGTTACCATACTAGAAGCACTCAAGGAGCATAACAAGGAAATCCCTTTCCCATTAAAACTAATAGAAATTTCAAAGGTCATCAGGGTGATAGAAAAGGATAGAGGTAAAGAACCACCACTTAGATCCAGAAAGACAATAGAGGAGTGGGCTACACTAGCATTCCCCCACCAGCAGTGTCACGCCCCAAAACCAGGAGCGGAACAGATGCCATGCACTCGTGAACGGGTCCCACAAATGCACAAGGCTCGAAACTTACGGTGTTCATAATTACCAAAAATTTACTAGTCCAAATGTACAAAGTTTATAAAACAGTCATGGCTATAACCAAGGAAACTCAATATACAAAAAAAAAAAAAGATTTATCAGTTCACATCTATGTCAAACATGTGTGGCTAACGGCCTAAGTCCAAAAAGAATCTAAGTTCAAAATACTGACTAGTCGTCTAGCTTGTCACTCCCCTTGGTTAACCATGCCTCAGGTCTCACTTCCTGAAATGGTGGACAAGGAAAAACTATGAGATAAAATATCTCAGTAAGTAAAAATATGGGTAGCCCGTGAGTAAAATTTAAGCATGCCTGATAAACAGTTTAACGTAACAAAGCAGTCAATGATAAACAGTTGATGCAGAATAAGCTTCAGTAGTAGTCTCATCTATAAGTCATAACTAGCAATTATAAACCTCCCACTGGCAGGCACAGTAATAACCAATGTATTATCCCATTGGCAAGATTTCAGTAATAACCAATGTATTATCCCATTGGCAGGATTTCAGTGTGAACCGGTCCTATCGGTAAACATATCAACATGTGCTAACGTTTATAAACCTCCCACCAGCAGGCATAGTAAAACATGACCATATCAGAGATAAAACCATGCAAGATTTACAGAAATTTCGTAATTCACAATCAATCTCAATTTCAAGAATAAATCGAAAAAATTTCATGTGGGCATGGATTTAACAGAAAAATCAGAATTTACAAAATTCTCAGATCATCAGGGCAGTTAAGTAAATTCCAAGTAGGCATGCTCTATTCAATGAAAATGACAATAATTCCATTTCAAACCAATCATACTCGGTGCTAATAAAATCAATTTAGACCTTTCCATCATTTCAAAAATAATTTAAAATATGCTTTTACTTTGAAATCAAAGGGCGTTGTCATAATTTACTTACCTCAGTCACATAACACAGAAAATTCATTCCAAGTGCTAGGGTGACAGAACAATCAAGAACCTAACCAAAATATTCCAGAATTAATAACCATATGACCAGACATTTCAATTTTATTCTCAGTATAAACTAAACATTTAAATCCTCCTATTGTTGGCCATTAGTGTGCGAACAGTATCTGTGAACAATAATTATGCCGTGAACAGTAATTACGTAGTGAACAGTAACTACAACTTCCAGAAATTGGCAAAACAATAACTAATTTCATGGGATTTTTCTCCAGAAACTCACAGCAGCTAATTAACACTCAATCATATAAATTCTACTTGAATTAATGCTTAAATTTTGTCTTAAAGCTACCAAAATTCATCCCTTTTTCTGCAAAATTTTGGGACATCATGGAGGTAGCAAATTAATGGACAAAATTCAGCAACTAACAGTAATTTGGACTTAAATAAAGCTGTCACATACCAGGAAATCTAGCAAGCAAACAGAAGCTACAAATTGGGGGAGTTGCCGGTGGGAAGTGCAGAGTAAAATTCGAGAATCTACCCAAAAATTGGGAGGAACTAAGAGAAATTAGAGTAAACCCAAGCCAATTCAAGAAAGAAAAAAGGAATTGGTGGATGTTTCTTACCAAAAATCAGAGAAAATCACCCCCACACAGCAGAGCAGCAGACAGAAGGAACAGAGCAGAGCAAATCCAAAAATTTTGTGCAGGGGGGAGGTTTCTAAGCTTTAAACCTTGTTCTTGAATAAGAAAAGAAGAAAAATCAAGCTTTTCTTACCCTTTTTTTCAAGTGGAGGTGCTGTCGGGCTTGGCTAGGTTTCTTGTTTGGTGCAGGGAAAAAGAAGAAAAGCAGAATTGGGCGGCTAAAGAGAGAAGGAAAGAAGAAAAAAAATCAGCCATCCTTATCCAATTTCTTTCCTCTTTTAAGTCCCTCAAAATTTGAAAATTTTGTGATTAGGCTCAACAATATTATTTTCTCACAATTAGGTCCCTAACTCACTTAATTGTTCTAGGAATTTTTGGGGTATTACATCCACCCCTCCTAAAAAGGAGTTTAGTCCCCTAAACTCATACCTCAATCTTGGAAGAGGTGCGGATGTTCCTACCTCATCTTGGATTCTAACTACCAAGTAGCTTTTTCAACCGAATGATTATCCTAGAGGACCTTAACAAAACGAATAGTTCTTCTTCACATTACCCTTTCCTTGAAATCTAAAATACGGATCAAGTGCTCATCACAAGTGAGATCTTTTCAAAGATGAATGGGTTTGGGATCAATGATGTGGCTTGGGTCAGGAATATACTTCCGAAGTAAAGACACATGGAACACATCATGAACACCCGCTAAATTTCCAGGCAACTCCAATCGATAAGCTACCTTGCCAACCTTTTCCAAGATAGGATATGGTCTAATATACCTCGGACTCAATTTTCCCCGCATGCCAAATCTGAGAACACCTTGAGTGTGTGACACCTTCAAAAATACATGGTCACTGACTTCAAACTCAAGGTCTCGTCTCTTTCTATCCGCATAGCTTTTCTGCCTGCTCTTTGCAGCATGAAGGTGTTCCTTGATCAATTGCACAATCTCAAAAGACTGTTGCACCAATTCTGGGCCTAAAATGCTTATCTCGCCTACCTTTGCCTAGCAAACAAGTGATCTACACCTTCGACCATATAAAGCCTCAAATGGTGCCATGCGGATGCTGGACTGGTAACTATTATTATAAGCAAATTCAGCCATGGATAAGTACTGATCCCATGAACCCTTCTAATCTAGAATGCAAGCCCTCAACATATCCTCCAGTATTTGAATAGTTTTCTCAGATTGCCCATTGGTTTGAGGATGGAAAGTCGTGCTGAAATTTAATTGAGTACCAAGTGCTTGCTGCAAGCTTGTCCAGAAATGAGATAAGAATCTGGAATCTCTATCTAACACAATAGACGCAGGGACTCCATGCAACCTAACTATCTCATTCATGTACATACTGGCAAGCTTCTCAATGGATACGCCAATCCAGAAGGTAAGAAATGTGCTGACTTGGTCAATCGATCAACGATGACCCAGATGGAATCATTTCCCTTTAAGGTTCGTGGTAAACCTGTCACAAAGTCCATGGTGATATTCTCCCACTTCCATTGGGGAAAAGGTAACGGCTGCAGCTTCCCAGGAAGTCTTTGGTGTTCAGCCTTGACTTTCTGGTAAGTCAGGCATTGTGAGACAAATTTGGCTATCTCCTTCTTCATATTCCGCCACCAAAATGTACCACGCAAGTCACAATACATCTTGGTGCTACCTGGGTGAACTGTGTAACTAGTATTATGGGCATCTCCTATAATCTCACGCCTTAAAGCATGATCTCTTGGTACACACAGCCTGTCACCAAACCCTTTTTAGAGGCATCACTATATATAATGAATCTTTCCCCATTGATGGGAAGTGCGAGTACAGAGGCAGTGACCAATTTCTCTTTAAGGGTCAAAAAGCTTTTCTCACACTCTGGAGTCCACTCAAATTTGGTGTCCTTCCTGATCAGACGAGTCATTGGCAGAGCAATTCTAGAGAAATCCCCCATAAATCGGTGGTAATAACCGGCCAATCCCAGAAAACTACGAACTTCTGCAACACTATTCGGCCTTTTCCAATCCACCATGGCCTCAATCTTCTGGGGGTCAATAGAGATGCCATCCTTAGTCACAACGTGACCTAGGAATGCAACATTATCTAGCCAAAATTCACACTTCTTAAATTTAGTAAACAACCTCTCACTTTTCAATGTCTCGAGAACTGTCCTCAAGTGCTTTTCATGAAGAGCATGGCTAGAAGAGTAAATCAAAATGTCATCAATAAAGACAACCACAAACTTATCTAGGTACTTGCTAAATACCCGATTCATCAAATCTATAAATCTTGCAGGGGCATTTGTTAAGCCAAAAGGCATAACCAGGAATTCATAGTGACTATAGCGGGTACGGAAGGAAGTCTTTGGCACATCATCAGGTTTAGTCTTCAACTAATGGTAACCAGATGGGAGATCAATCTAAGAAAACACTTGGGCACCCTTAAGCTGATCAAACAAGTCATCAATTCTAGGAAAGGGATATCAGTTCTTCACAGTCACCTTATTCAGTTCTCGGTAATCTATGCACAGTCTCATGCTCCCATCCTTCTTTTTAACAAACAACACTAAAGCTCCTCAAGGTGATACACTAGGTCGTATAAACCCTTTCTCAAGGAGTTTCTCCAGCTGGACCTTTAACTCCTTTAACTCTGCAGGAGCCATACAGTACGGGGCTTCGGAAATAGGTCCGGCACCAAGAACAAGATCAATAGCAAATTCAATCTCCCTATCTGGAGGTAAACTTGGGAGATCCTCCAAAAATACATCCGGAAACTCACACACCACAGGGATGTCTTCTAGTCTCAAGGTCACACTACTAGCATCAGTGACAGAAACTAAGAAACCTTGGCAACCATTTATGAGATATTTTTGAGCCTGCAAGGCCGATATCAACATGGGTGGAGCAAAGGAACCACTGCCTTGGAAACTAAATTCTGGCTCCTTGGGAATATTAAAAATACCCATTTATGATTACAGTCTATAGAAGCAAAATATGTTGATAGCCAATTCATCCCCAAAATGATGTCAAAATCAGAGATATCTAAAACAAACAGGCTAACACTCAATGGTCTACCATCAATATAAATATTTACAGTCCTACACACATCTATAGTAGTCATCACCCCTCCTAAAGGGGTGTCCACATGCAATTCGAAATCAGAGGTATCAATAGGTAAGGCTCGTTTCAAAGCATAAGATCGAGCCATAAAAGAGTGTGATGCACCTGATCCTTATGGCCACCCCTCGAGCATCCACGTTGTTTTGGAGCCATTTATAACCACATAAAAGGTTCATAGACTATTAATCAAGTGCCCCAAATTAGGGTTTCTCGGCAAGTTTTCACTTTCGGGACCAAAACCTCATAATTAAAATCCAACACACATTAAAGAAAGAATCAAACAAGTGCCCTTAATCAACTCCACTCTCATGCCTCACCACATTCCTATAATCCATTGGCTAGCCAAGTTCTAAACAAATCCTAGGTATTTAATTTAAACCTAGGCTCTGATACCACAAAATCTGTCACACCCCAAAACCAGGAGCAGAACAGATGCCGTGCACTCATGAACAGGTCCTACAAATGTACAAGGCTCAAAACTTACGGTGTTCATAATTACCAAAAATTTACTAGTCCAAATGTACAAAGTTTATAAAACAATCATGGCTATAACCAAGGAAACTCAATATACAAAAAAAAAAAGAAAAAAAGATTTATCAGTTCACATCTATGTCAAACATGTATGGCTAACGGCCTAAGTCCAAAAAGAATCTAAGTCCAAAATACTGACTAGCCGTCTAGTTCATCACTCCCCCTGGTTAACCTTGCCTCGACTCTCACTTCCTGAAATGGTGAACAAGGAAAAACTATGAGATAAAATATTTTAGTAAGTAAAAATATGGGTAACCTGCGAGTAAAATTTAAGCATGCCTGATAAACAGTTTAACGTAACAAAGCGGTCAATGATAAACAGTTGATGCAGAATAAGCTTCAATAGCAGTCTCATCTATAAGTCATAACTAGCATTTATAAACCTCCCACTGGCGAGCACAGTAATGTTGACGACCACTTAAAAATTTCAAAACAAATGAAAAATTAAGTGTGAAATATATAAGAAAAAGGGGAGTCGCCACTCATCCAAATTATAAGGTGGGACAAGTCACCTGAAACGGGTCTGCGCAAAGATCGGGGTTCGGGGGTTTAGTTAAGAGTGAGGAAGGGTATACGCGCACCTCACAATCCTCCGTTTAAACACGGTTGCATACTTTAACATTGGGGGTTTTGAATCAACTTATTCATTATGTTTATATTTGAGTCTTAATAAACAAGCTTGAAAAAAGAGATAACCAAATTGCAACATTTTTAACATTTTGGACTAAAATGGACGAAATCAAAGACATGCATGCACAATGAACACAAGTAAAAATTAAAGGGACTGATTTGATTAAAATAAAAATAGAGGACTGACTTGAAAAAGTTTAAAACTTTTGGACTAAAGTGCTTAAACATGAAAAGTTTGTGCGAAATTGAAATAAAAGAGATAACTTTTGATTTTTTTACTTTTTAACCTTTTTAGTTTTTTTTTTATTGGATTGGGTCGGGTTGATCCATCCAAAAACACGAACCCACTAACCAAAGTGGGCAAAAACAGATTAAAAGCTAGACCAAAATGAAATCTGGACAGAAACAGAAATGATCTGGATTTTCTGTTCGGCCATCCAACAGAACAGAACAAAGAAAGCAAGTAAACATCCATTCCAATTCGGATCCATGAAATTCAACAAACATGCTTGATTTCATTTGCAGTACCATCATCTAGTACAGTTTTAATAAAGCAAAACTCTATGAGAATCAGAATCAAACAAGGTGAAATTTCTGAGAAAAAAAAAGCAGATTGAGATCCGAAGGGAGGGATCCCACCCACGGGATCAAGCTCCCTTCTTCTCCCTCACGGCTCTTCCCAAAAATTCCTCTGTTCAGAAATTACCTAAGGCAATGAAACCCAGAAAATGAAACCAGAAAATGAAGTTCCTCTGGAAGCTCGGTGATCCTTCCTCTCAACCACCGTTGTTGCCCCCTTTCTTCTCCAGTAAATC